ATTCGTCTACAAGTAGCTGAACATATACATAACAGAAATAAGGAAAATTTTAAATTGCTCATCCTGGTAAAGATCCTCTGTAAATTAAATATATTGTCATTTCAGAAATGTTACCGATTTTATATGTTTTACAATGCGGATATCGTCCACTGAAATTTAAATTAAAATTTTTATTTAATAGATAAATTGTTAAGAGAGTCTTAAATAAATCCCAATTGTTGAATAATTGAATACATTGTACCTTTATCATGATGTTTTCCAGCGATGTGTGAAGTGATTTAAAGTGCAAGCGTGGATAACAAGCTGTTTTAATGTTGACATAGTTATTATGTAAAATAGTTGCATTTAAATTATATAGACCGCCTCGGTGATCTCGTTGCAGTATGTTCGCCTCGATTATGGGAGGTCGTGAGTTCGAACACCGGCTGTGTCAACCAAAGACCCGCGGCATTAAGGAGTAATAGACTGGTCGGTTCTGAGTCAGAATAATGTGTCCGGGTAGGTTGACATCTCTTTCTGTGGACTGTTTACCCTGTGAACTAGCTCGTTAAAAAATTCGGCTCAGCGTTTTGGTCTAGAACAAAGCAGGAATAATATTTATTTTACAAGACAAGACAAGACAAGACAAGATTTCATTTAAGTCTCACCTCTTACCAAACATTTACACATTATTACAACTTCACATAAAAAACAATAGCAACTCTCAAAAGAGTCATGAGAGACTATATATGATTTATATATATATATATACATAAAATGTAAAGCATAAAAACATAATAAAAATATACATTTTAAGAATGTGATATACATTTTCTTTTCAATAAAATATCATAACAGATCTTGGCATTGTAAAAGTACACATTTTCCTCACTAGTCTTAATAAAAATACAAATTTATTGTGATCTGACAAACTATAAAAATCAAGACAAAAAGAATTAGCATAACAAAACAGCACGTAAATCTGCATATACATGTAATGGACAATTAAAAATTACATGTTTCTTATCTTCAACTGTATTATCTTTACTATTAAAACATATTCTATCATTAAGGCCACACCAATTTGATTAATAGTTCTTTGGAATTTTCCCGCTCGTTTTGGGGAAATTGACTTTTCAATAAAAAAAAATAATTACCGCTTCCGCAAATGTTTGGGCCGCATGCCGCTCCAAAATTAGTTTCTCCTTGAAATTTTTTTTTCACATAGACTTTTTTCTTGTGCATATATTGCTTCTGTCGATTCAAACGCACGTGTGATAAATCGATTTGTAAATAAAAGGTCAAAAATCGGAATGTCAACATGTAGTGTTGTCAGCTCATTGCCATGGACAAGTAGTTATTGAACTCACAGTTATCCGAAATGCATCTCGTTTTATTATTGAAGACCAGTTCTAGGAGGCAAAAATTAAAAATCTTTCGTTAGATGACCACAATCACATTAATATTTTTACTCTGACTTCCAACAGCTGTTTTGCCAGACAAGCTGGGGCCGAGGGACCACGGCCCCAGCTTGTCTGGCAAAACAGCCGTTGGACGTCAGAGTAATCTCGGACTATATTTGATAGAACCATCATCATCTCCTTAATGAAATTAATATTAAATTCCCATGAACTTTTAAAAATATCACAGAATTATCTTATTTTGATGAAACCCTACATTCCCTTGTTAGTCTTTTGGCATGCAAGCAGATCTCTTTTGTAAGGGTAAATTTAAGAGTTCAAACATGGTGGTATTGGGATTGGCATGCTCAACATAATTTGTGATGTGTTATCAACCACTTCTAGTCAAGTTAAAAGAGTTTTAAATGCACTGCATCTTTTAGGAGCAAAAGGAAAGAGTATATTTTGCTAAGTCAGAATAATCCATGTGAATGTGGTGACAGGTATTTTAAAGAGATATTTTAATACATTGAGATCTATATGCATATCAATATAACTATCTTACTCATCATGCTCATGATGTTGTTGAAATATTCACATCACTCATTATGTTGATCCTAAATATGGATAAATAGTTCCAACTGGATGTCAAGCAGCCAATAAACAATCATTACCATATAATGAAACATCAAAAAATATTGTGCATGGGCATTTTTTGGGATACATACACATATTTTGATTTATTCAACATATGTCAAAAGTAAAATCACAAAAATACTGGACTCCGAGGAAAATTCAAAAAGGAAAGTCCCAAATCAAATGGCAAAATGTCATGTATCCTACTTACATAATTCCTCTTGTTAAACTGCATCTGTAGTGCTTTCTTAATATAAACACATGTATGGATTTAAATGAAAATCCATGCAGACAAAGCTTATTCGACGAAAATAATCAACTGAACCACAGCGTGACAAGAAAGTCGGGTATGGTACAGGCACCAATACATCAAATTATATGCATTAGAGCATGTTTCTCCTTGTTTTTCCATGAAGGAACCCAGTTGTAACATGGAAAAGTAAATTCTGAATCGCAAAATAAAAAAAAATTATACCACTCGCTTCACTTGTAGAGCACTCGCCATATTTCCCTGCAATACTATTACATTAACATGTTCTTGTCTTGTATATGCATTCAATTTGCCACTGAACGTTAAACTGTCACCCGTCATCAAATTTGTCATCATAAAAGTATATGCCTTAAAAGTATAACGTTTTTGACAGCACAAATTATTTTTGTATCATAAATAAATAATTGAATTACAAAATATTCATGAAATATAAATATGATGTGAACTTTTGAGCTTTCATGGTAAAAAAAATTTGAAAAGGGATGGTATGATATCATTTTAAAAAAAATCTCAAATGAAGTTATTCAGAAAGCTCTCTACCATTGTGTCTACCGTGGATGCCGAATAAAAAGATTGATAAATATCGAAACAACGATTTCGCTTACAGAAAGAAAGAAAAAAACACCTGAAAGTGACGTCAAAGATGTGACACTAGACTTCCGTGGGAAAGTTTCCTTTAAACTTTTAATTAAAGGAAAGATATCTCTCAAATAATTTTATGACCGATTCCAAATGATCTTAATTGCATAAAGAAGTTATTTGAATGTCTCTTATTTATTGTACACTATAAATTTATATATATGAACTTTGATTCAATGTTTCCAGGCGTTGTTTTACGTCAGCCGAAAAATATTCGACAATGATCATGACAATTAAAATAAAATATTAAATCAATTCGAAATACTATAATCTTATCTGCAATCATGGTCCAATTATCAAATAGAATATTTTATATACGATGTAATTTGGAAAACTGTGGTCATATATTTTATTTGAAAGAAGTTGTCGATCAAAACTATTAGAAAATAGTTAACAAACATTATATATATATATATGTTTTCAATTTAGACTTATATTTATATATATATATATGTATATAATTGCGGTTTTTATCCAACGCAATCATAGGTTTGAACGTTGTTTTCAATTTAGACTTGTTTATATTTTTTCGTTTGGGCTTGTATTATATTTGCCTTCGGGTTTATATGATCCGTTCATCCTATTTCGACTCTTTCAAAATTCAAGAGTCTATCCTAAATTGAGGTAAATCATATGGCCTTCCAAATACCGTTTCGATTCCTAACATCACTGAAGAGACATTAATTGTCGAAATCCGGATATGGTGTACAAATTTTTGCACCTCATGTTTGCGGTATATGAGGTCTTTTCCGCAAGTTTATTGTTTTCTGTTTGGTAATAAATGAATAATAAGATCTGTTTATTTGGCAATCGCCAATGGCAGTCAGCAGGGTTTAAGAACATCAGTTGTTCGACCTGCTAGTCAAATGCGTTTTGTTAAAATATACTTTTTCACTCTTTTGGTCTTTTGGAAAATGTTGTTTGTGCTCTATTTAGACCCCTCTACCATGAAATTTGTTTTGCATGCACGCGGTTTTTATCCAACGCAATCATAGGTATGAACGTTGTTTTCAATTTAGACTTGTATATATATATATATATATAACAATTAATTGAAATTGGCTTCAGAGTTTAATAAAAGAAATGATTTTGCGTGCGTACTAAAAACAGATGTTATAATTTTGTTTCAAGTTTTTGCCCGTGTGCATAATGTCAGTTAAGACTGAAATTACATTTTAAAATAGAACGAATATTTTTCTATCCAATATTAGCAAGGAATTATAGATAGATGGATAATTTTGGTCACCGAGAGGTCAAGCTTTGCAAACTTGAGCAAAAAGTGCAAAGATTTAGGGAAAATTAATAAACAGCGCAACCTCCGACCATCAAAGTTTAGGCATGTGATTTTCGTGTTAAAAAATGTTGGAAATTTTCACCCAGACAATTCATCAGTTGTTTCAATGTTAGAAACACCCCGTTGGTGCTGTTACATATCTACAGGGTACAATTCGGAAAAGTTTAAAGAATATTTTCCAGTCAAACTTAATTAAATATTTTTGGAGCACATGTTTTGGGGTCAAACAGAGCATACCTTTTGTATTAATTGTTAATTGTTTCTCGTCCTTAATATGCATGAAATATTTGTCACTGGGTGACACTCAATCAATCAATCTACGATCAATAGCATAATCAATAAGAATTAGTATAAATTTTTGTATAACTTTTCGAGTACTTAAGTAAAGGCCTTTTTAGGTTAAAAATCTTACAATTGACTTTTTCGTCAGTTTGAATATGGTACACGTTCACATCATTCCTCGATTTCAAGGTAATATGTTAGTACGGTTAAAATATCACTTAAATGAACATGTAAAAGCTGTACTACTAGCAATTGTAGTTAATCCTTTGCCTTCGAATTTCGTAAATTTGTGTAGGAACCAATCAAATTGGACTAAAATCTATTTGTTTAATATTTGATCAAATGTCCCACCTGTGACAACGGTTATAACCATAGGATGGACGGTTCAATGAATCAATTAAAGGGATAACAATGACATTTTTTTTTCCATCTAACCCACGATACAAATTTTTCTCTTACGCAATTTTTGGTGTTGGAATTCAGAAAAAAAAACCCAGATCAGAAAAGGGTGCAATATATATCTTTAAAATCATTATTTCCCACATCACAGTACGACTTGTCGTTGATGAGACAATTAGATCAAATATTGATTCTGGTTGATATAAATTGTTTGTTTATGTAAAAGACAATGTATAATCGGAAATGAAGATCACGTTACTACTAATAACCATCATTGGACATGCTTTATGTTCGTTTAATTGTACGGGTAAGGTCTTTGAAATGTTTCTGTCTATTTACAAATTGTCACGATATCTTCAAAAACGTCATATTTTATTTTAATACTCATTTAAACACAATTTTATTTACATTCGTTTATTTGTTTGTTTACACTGTATATTAAGTTATTTTGTTCTTGCTATTAAAAAATCCATATATGAAATGCAATCCCTATATTATTTTACCTTTAAAGATCACTGAATAGTAGAATTATCTTTGAACATGTTTTATTATTACATTCGTTTTTTTTTAAACTTTAATCAGTCTGATTTAAATCAGCTGGTAATCAGAGCCAAACAAACATGCAACTGAATACACTTTATCAGATTAAAGGTAAAATAAATTTCAATCCTGGTATCTATGATGAGTTTAATTGCAACGGTAAAACAGAACTAAAATAAAAGTTTGTGACATTTAGCAGAGTACGATATTATCGATTATGTTGTTATAATAAACGATGGGGGCATAGGTGACATTCACAAATATTATTTTATTTTGATAATTTACTCTAAACAATTATACAATTAGACCTCAAAATGCAAACATGAAGAGTATTTCTTAAGATTTTTTTGACATTTTCAGACTTTGCACATCGTTTTCGCTCAGACAGCTTCCCAGTACTCATGAAAGATTTTATTGGAACTCACAGTAGAGGAATGTTAGCCATCAAATGTGCAGTAAGTTTGACATAAATTATTAAAAAGCAAGGTAAAATCGGTTCATTACATTTGGGCGCATTATTACGTTTGCGCGCAACTTTGGATTACATTTGCGCGCATTGAATTTCATATCACAAGTAAACACAGGTAAATTTAGGTAAACACATGCAAATTATAGGCTTTTGGATATCTATTTATCTATTATTTTTCAGTGCTGAATATTTGAAGCAAACTGTTTTAAGAAAATTAATTCGGTCAACTTCTCCACTCTGATATTTTCGTGACCCATCGGAAACTAATTTAAAAGATTTTTCCCTCCGTTTGTTTCTTGCAACCGGAACTCCATGTTGTGGGTTGACGCAGCTTAACAATCCGACTTAACTTGTTTACTAAAGCGATCACTATTCACTAAGTCAGTAAAATTAGGAAACAGGATAATAACCACACTTCAATAGGCCTTATCACTCTTTCCATATCAAAATCAGTTGAAATAAAACATCCAAAAATTTATTTCAGCTCTCTTCTTCCATTTCCACCCAATAAAAACTAAGAAACGTATGCGGAAGGGAAAGAAAAAAAAGAAGCAAAAATATACTTTAATTAAAGGGAACTATATCAACGAAAAGCGGGATCATTAATTGTGGTCTGGGGCCAATATACATATAATTTCTCATGATCACTTAATATTTTTTTAAGAATTCAACATGAAAAATATGTAATAAGTATTATCATCAATATGATCAAAGTTAACAACTAACGACATATTTATTATGAATTATCGTTATTTTTACCTGTTTTACCTGTTTTACCTGTAAAATGAATGCAGGCAAATGTTATAAAAAGCTTCGTGCAAAAGTAAACAAATTTAATACCCAAATGCGCGCAAATGTAATCATTGCATATAAATACAACGAAAGACAGCCTCTGACGAGGTTCCTGACTTCAGACACGCGGTTGTTTTTTAAACTAGTTTACTTGTATATCATTCAAATATTATTTATTTTTCACATCTCTTTCGCTATTATATGTAATATCAGGAACATATATATTGACATACTGTTCACAGGTAATATCAATAAAACATCTCCTCGTTTATCCACTACCTATATAGATGTAATTGTATAATTCCGACTTCACTGCGCATGATACATACTTCTGATTTTTTTTTCGCCAAGTACGCACGTGTTGCATATCTTATTTTCGTTATTAATAAGGGTTGCTAGTTAACAGTCCGGTAAGTGTATCATTCCGGAATTTGAAAGGCTCATTCCTTGTCCGGTTTGGTAATTACTATCTCCATTGTTTATTGTCAATGCGGGTAGCAGACGTTATTTTTATTGAGAGCAATATATTACAACAAAACTCATTTATTCGTGTTTATTTGTGTCCTTCATACATAAAAGTCATCCAAGGATACAGCATGGAGGTCCCTTATATTTATGTGAGATTGAGACATTTTGCAGGGCTAGGATCTTTATTCATTTTTTTAACACGTGATTTTGAAAAAAAAAGACAAAACTTTTCAAGATCGCTATTTTAGACATCTATACCTAATAAAAGTTCGTAAAACCAAACAAATAATGATATTAGAATACCATGTGATACCCTCATGTCAATGTCGTTTAACACCTCCCCGTAGCAAAATAAAGAAAAAAATGCTGAACATTTATGATCTTTAGCAACAGTTAAAACCAAAAGTCGTGACTACCTTAGCTGGCTTTCTATTGTAGTGAGCACATTTTGATAGAGCTTTCCAAATTATATGCCGTCTTTAATTTCCTTGATAAAGTAAGTGGTCTTCCTGTTGGTAACTGTACTGTACAGGTATTTTACTCTGTGTTTGCCTTGTACGGCTTTGGCTTAAATAGACAAAGGGTGTGTTTTGTGCATGTAAACCTGGTTTAACCCCACCGCATTTTGTCGTTGTATGAAGTCAAAACATATTTTTTGTTCAGTTTTGTTGATTCCTGTTAATCTTTTTATGTATTGTTATTTATTTCTCAATGACTATAAACGTAATTAATATGATATCATTATTTTGTTTACAGATGAGAACTCTTCGAGATGACATACAGAAACAAAATTTTGCAGACTATCGAAGAACAATTTTTTAACTGAACGACTTGTAATGACAAAACAGTTAGCCTATTTTAGAACTCAGTTTATATGACACGTTTTAGTTGTACGATTTCAGTTAGTTAGTTGACTTAATAATAATACTTTTACAACTAAAGTTGTAATTCCGGTAGCAAAGTTGTCATGCGAAAGGATTCCTCTACTTTGTTTAGGACTTTTTTGTTTTTTACGGTTTATTTAGCTTCTTAAAGTGTTATGAGACAGGCAATCTATAGCATACGTTTATATTACAGTACAAATTAGAATTTAGTAGGATCCAGAATCCTTCTAGTACAAACTGGAATTCCAACATCTACTAGACGTAGAAATCGGAATTCTGTTTTATACTAATTAGAATCCTGTACAAATAAGAATTCTAAATTGTACTGTAACATCAATCTGAAGACACTAACAGAATCAAATATAAACAATATCAGGAATACATATTGAATGATTATGTCATGTGCAATTTGTCTTTCCACTTCTTTTTTTATACTTTGATATTTATGATGTGTTGTTATTGCTGTATCTGGTATTGTATAATATGACTTTGAGATGAAGAACAGTAATAAAAGCGCTGTTCCTTTGATTTTTGTTTGGTTTTTTTTGCTGTGCATGTACTGATTTTATGTCATGGATGGATACCCCATATCCTTTGTTTTTCTATTACAGTTTTGGTTATTGAACACTATTTATATTATATACAAATCCTTATAAAGATTAACATAAGCACAAGTTGTTTGTGTACTCATCTATTTTGCTAATATAAACCTTTATTATTATACAATTAATTAATTAATTCCAAGTTATGTTAAAATATTCAACTTTTTTTATGTCTACTTTTTATGTTGTCTGTACTCCCTCGCTTATCGCTCGTTTTGTTGCAGTCATAAATACCAGTAGTGAAATATTCTCAATATTATTAATAAGATTTCTGAGAAACTATTACCTGTCTCTTTTCATTTTATCTATTTTCAATTTAGATTTTTTTATTACCCCTTTCTAACTTTTTATTACATTAAAAAATAAAATTTAGATCATATAAAGAGGGTGAAGTAATACCTATTTTTGCATGATGAACTTGACTGAAAATAATGAGATTTCTATAAAAATTAATCTGTTATGATGCAAGTTATTTTTTTTTTTTTAAAGTTGAAAAATTTAGGAAATAATTTTAAATTGATGAGTTATCTCCATAGTGGATAGATGTTATTCCTTGTCCCGGTTTGGCTTTACTTTTTGGTCATTTTTGGTTTTTATCAACTGTTCTACAATATTTTGCCTTCGAGCATCACAGAAGATATATACAAATTGTCCAAATGCGCATACTTTAAAGTGATATTGGTACCGTTTATTTTATTAAAAGTAATTCTCTGTAACCACCAACCATTTCATATGGACCGGGGGGTTCGGCACGCATAGTCACCGATTTTCCTGAAACTTAGCCTGACCATAAAATTAAGTGAAAAAGAAAGAAAATGCCTCCCAAGTGTTGCTAGGCCACGGTTGCTATGGCAACCTAGTCAATGAGTTTTCCTGTACATTTTAGGGAATTTAGCATTGAAAAAACAACTTCTTTGCAGGCATTCTGAAGCCAGACCAGATTTTATTTAATGATATTTTTAAATGTTTTTCAGAAACATGATACTAAACAAACGTAAATCAATGTCATACTTAAATAATATTTTGGCTGAATATTGTCACAACCGCAGGAGCAGAGGTCATTTTTCATTGTATTTGTGAAGGCAAATTATACACATTTAGCATGAACAAAATATACAGTTTTGCATCCACCTCAATTTAAGTTGTGGTTATAAATATAGAGTATCAATGTTTCTAGTCAATAATTTGCAACAAAATATTTGGGATTCAGGGTGCTAGAATGGTTGCTATGGAAAGCAAATGTGTCATTTTTGTCTTTTTTCTTCAGAAATTCGACCATGCTATTAAGATTACACGAAAACAATAATTACCATTGAATGACTATGATGTGAAACTATTGAGCATTATATGACATTCAATTTAACTCAAGGTCAAAGGTCATAGATGTCCTTGACCTTTGACCTTGCGTATATTAATTGGATTTTGTAAGGCAACATAATAGAATGATGCAAACAATACTTGAGGAAAATGTTCAGGATGATTAAAGTTACTATTTTGATTACATGGCAACAGTAAGAAGTCATTGTCTTGTAATAAGTGCTAAGCAACCACCCTTATTTGATTCAAAAGAACCTAGTAACCATATATGTTTTGATTCAGGACTGTATGGATTATTACAAAAACCCTACTTAAAAGGTCAGGGGTGAATGTTACCACACTAGCCCTTAGCAACTATTCATTTATTGTGTAATATTGCCATGCAACCATTTATTTATATTGGAAAAGTGCCTAGCAACAATATATTTTCAGTTTCATTGAGACAAAAAAAAAATGATATCAAACATGCAGGTTTCTTTAAATTAGTAATCCCTTGGAAGAACACACATTGTATGTTGAATTACACTGACTTAATTGTACACATGCATAATTCAAAATAATCAATTATATGGGAAATTCAATTTCAAAGTTGAAAGAAATAAGGGGTTGATTACAAATTCAAATACAAAAAAAAATGTGGTATGGTTGCCAATGAGACAACTCTCCACAAGAGACAAAATGTTATATTCAAGACAGGTCCTTTGAATCTACAAAAACAAGGCGAAACGAACAAAATTGCTTAGAGAACGACCAATTCATTTCTTTGGTGAAGGTTGGGCTTTTGAGCAAGAGGTTTTGCATAAACAGAATAATCGTTTTCACCCGTTTTAAGGCTGGATTACTTATTTCATTTTTTTTCGTCGACAAAAATATATTCTGTTGTGTACACAACTATTTCTTTTTTCAAATCGTATGTGCATCTGAATGTACCCGATAATTCATTTTCAGCATGTCTTCAAGTTGGTCAAAATTATTGATCTTCAGTTCTAGACACCACTACATTCATTTCATTCAATGTAGAATAGTTCTTCCATAGCTAATAGAGCTGGGACTTACATGAATAATTCAGTCTCTTGGTCACAGGTTGTCTATTCCTTTTTTTTTATAATTTCAAAGACTACTAACTAATTTTATTTTTTAAAGTAACCATTAATTTATTAAAATGCTTATTGTATTTCGATGCTATGCGAATACAAGTCTTTAATGGTGATCTATAATATATAGTGTGCAAATGATTACTTGTTTTACTTAGAAATAAAATCTTCATACTATAACGATAAAATATTAATATAATTTGCACTAGAATGGACATGTATATGTTCTGTATTTTTTTGTTGTGAATATTATCTTTTATTTCAAATCACCTGGATACATAAACCCTAAGCAGTCCAGGACAGCTGACAGAGGGGTCCTTGCTTTTATTTTACATATCTCATTTGCCAGGGAAAATACAAATGGATCGAAAAAAATACTCTCAACATAATCACGGTAGGTATAGTGTCCGGCTAGGATCGTGGTTTTTCGAGTGAATCTGTCCATTTTTTTCGAGTGTAGATCGGGCTTTTTTGAGTGATAAAACATGCGATCAGGTCAATTAACTGCTAATTCGTAATTATAATAGTTTTTTACTTGACTACCCATCTTATTTTGAATACTATACATGTTTTGAGTAACAAAGAAGCACAATTTCCTTGTATTTGACCATTAAATTCAGTGTTTGTTATTGTCCGGGCTTTTTCGAGAGTAACTGTGAAACCGTCCGGGTTTTTAAACAAATGGTCCGGGTTTTTTAACGAAAATTTTAATAAGAAAAAAGGTATTCTTGACTTTAAAAAATGACTTTTCTAGTTTATAAATGTAATTTAATGAATGAAAATATCATATATTCTCAATAAATCACCAAAACCAGGGACAGTCTATACTAACTTAGTTAGTATAGACTGTCCCTGCCAAAACATATTACTACTTTGATCAAAATTAACCTTTTTCAATTTAATGCAAATTTTCTGTTCGGAAAACGTTCTACCACAACATTCCAGTATTAAATTAGAAATTATTGGATCCTTTATAAAAAGGTCTTTAGAACATAGTGCAGGTGACTCATAACCTTTAATTTCAACTTCATCTTATGATATTTTTGTTGTCACAGTTAATAATATTTTTCGTGGTGAACCTCGGAGTTTTTATACGGTACGTATTATGGTATACCGTTGTCCGTCCATCGTCAGCATGTCGGACAATAACTCAAAAACGCTGTAAACAATTTAAATGAAACTTCGGTGAATTGTTTATATCTATTGAGGTATCCTCCCTTTCGAATTTTATAAATTTTAGATTTTACGTTTCCGAGTTACGGGATTTTATTAAACAAACTAGAGGCTCTAAAGAGTCTGTGTCGCTCACCTTGGTCTATGTGCTGCAGTGCTTACTAAACAAAGGACACTCTTCTACATTAAAAACAAGAATAGAATTCATGACAAAATTCTCTGTGTTGGTGATAGTGACTTGTTTGTAGATCTTGCTTTACTGAACATTCTTGCTGTTTACAGTTATCTCTATCTATAATGAACTTGGTCCATACGTTTCAGAGGAAAAGATTTTTGTAAAAAATGTTTGCGTTGCACATGATCCGCTATCCTTAACATTTAAATACAGTTATTAAGCTGCTCAGATTGTGATCTGTTCAACAGCAATTAAAACTCTAGACGTATATATCCGAGCATCACGGGATGACACAATGTAAAAGTTAACGGACAACGACGGAACCCAAGTGACGAGAAAAGCTCACTTGATCCCTTTACCAGGTGAGCTAAAATTGGGTGATTTTACAATTTTCGGACAATATTTCTAAAGTGCTTTGAGGAGTTTTCATGAAACTTTGGTGACTGCTTTATATAGATTAGGGTTACCTCCCTTTTAGTTTTTTTTTTAATTGAGAAATTATTTATAGGTTTCATAACGAGTGAGAATGGATATCGCTTGATATCATCTTGAGTTATTTAATTTCAATATAATAATAAACGAAGCTCCGGCGAGTTTATTATTACTAATCGAATTAAATAACGAGAGGAAATTACTTACTTACTTACTTGAATTAAAAAACGAGAGTTGATATCAAGCGATACCCCATTCTCACAAGTTGTTAACCGTATTTGTCTTATGGTCAACACTCTCATTGTCTCAAACTAAAAATTCTGCAAATCGTTGGTCTAGTATTTTGCACATGAAATGTACATCGTCGTAACCTTTGATGGTCATCAATGACCTTACGAATAGCCAATGGAAATGCCGTAATGTCGTGTTATCATGCTGTATAAGCAAATCAAATTAACGCAGATTTTCGTATCACTTTTTCGTATCACACTCCGTGCAGTGTGATATGAGAAATGTTTATTCGTGAAAGAAATATATAATAAGCCACAACCATAAGAGAATGAACTTTATTCTTTGAAAACGCGAAGGGCGTATCATGCGCCAATGGCGCAGCTATTTATTAAAAAACGGAGTAAGAAACCTACTGGACAGCAGAGAAGAATCAGAAAAATGCATTGTTTTTGTTAGACGTATTTCTATTTGTATCAATCTGATGAGTTAAGCCTTTTTCAACTGATTTTTATAGTTCGTACTTATGTTGTACAGTTACACCACTGTCCCAGGTTAGGGTTGGGATCCCGTTAACATGTTTAACCCCGTCACATTCTGTATGTATATGTCTGTCCCAAGTCAGGAGCCTGTAATTCAGTGGTTGTCGTT